GTAAGCTACCGTGAGTGGCTGGCAGCAGGTGAGAACTGCCTCAGCTCAGCCAAGAAGAGTGCAATGATCATAATACCAACATGGGCCAGTGAAGCGACGTCCTCCACAGCTAGACTGAAGAACAAAACGACAGCAACTTGTCTGTTCCCCTCCCCTGATTCCCCAACACTGTTCCCTCTCCCATTTCCCCAATAAAATCTTTAAAAACAAAACAATGTATGGGATGCAGCAAAAGCAGCTCTTAGAGGAAAGTTAATCGCTGTGCATGCCTACTTCAAGAAGCAGGAAAATTCCCAAATACACAATCTAACTTTATACCTAAAGTAACTAGAAAAAGGAAAACAAACAAAACCCAAAGTAAGAAGAAGGAAGGAATTAATAAAGATCAGAGTGCAAATAAATGAAATAAAGACTAGAAAAACAATAGAAAAGAACAATGAAACTAAGAGCTGGTTCTTTGAAAGGTTAAATAAATAAATTGACTCTAGCAAGACTCATGAAGGACAAAAAAGAGAGCTCAAATAAATAAAATCAGGAGGGAAAGAGGAGAGATCACAACCATCGCCAGAGAAATACAAAAGATTACTAAAGAATACTATGTACAATTATATGCCAACAATCTAGAAGAAATGGATAAATTTCTAGAAACATAAAAACTTCCAGGAAAACAGAGAATCTGAAGAGACAGGTTACTAGCAATGCAATTGAAGCAGTGATTTAAAAAAAAAAAATCCCAACAAAAGCTCAGGGCCACATGGCTTCACATATCAATTCTACCAAACATTTAATAATGCCTACCCTTCTCAAACTATTCCAGAAAATTGAAGAGGAAAGAATGCTTCCAAACTCATTCTACAAGGCCAGCATTACCCTGATACCAAAACCAGACGAAGACACTACAAAAAAACAGAATTACAGGCCAATATCCCTGATAAACATAGATGCAAAAATTCTCAACAAAATACTAGCAAACTGAATTGAACAACAAATTAAAAGGATTATACACCATGATCAGGTGGGATTTATATTAGGGATGCAAGGGTGGTTGAACATCTGCAAAACAATTAATGTGATTCATCACATCAACAAAACCAAGAATAAAAATCATATTATCATCTCAATAGATACAGAAAAAGCATTTGAAAAAATTCAACATTAAGTTATGATAAAAACTCTCAAAAAAATGAGAATAGAAGGAACCTACCTCAACAGGATAAAGGCTATATATGACAAGCCCACAGTTAACATCATACTCAATGGTGAAAGTTGAAAGTTTTTCCTCTAAGATCAGGAACAAGACATTGATGCCCACTCTCACTATTATTCAACATAGTATTGGAAGTCCAAGCCACAGCAATCAGACAAAAAAAAAAAAGGGAAGAAAGAAATAAAACTCCCACTACTTGCAGATGACTTGATTTATACACACACACACACACACACACACACTAAACCCTAAAGAATCCACCAAAAATTAATAGAATTAATAAATGAATTCAGTAAAGTGGGATACAAAATTAATATATAAAAATCTATCACATTTCTATACACTAATAATGGTCAGAAGGAGAAATTAAGAAAACAATCCCATTTATAACTGCATTAAAAAAGTAAAATACCTAGAAATAAATTTTAACACGGAGATGAAAGACCTGTAGTGAAAACTATAAGACATTGAAAATGAAACTGAAAAAAAAAAAAGAAGAAGAAGAAAAAGAAAATGAAACTGAAGAGGACACAAATAATTGGAAGGATATACCATGCTCATGAATTGGAAAGATTAATATTGTTAAATCATACTACCCAAAGCAACCTACAGATTCAGTGCAATCCCTATCAAAATACCAATGGCATTCTTCTCAGGACTAGAACAAATAATTGTAAAATTTATATGGAATCAGAAAAGACCACAAATAGCTAAAGCAATCCTGAGAAAGAAGAATAAAGTTAGAGGTATCATGCTCCCTAATTTCAAACTATTCTACAAAGCTATAATAATCAAAACAGGATGATACTGGCATAAAAATAGACACACAGATCAATGGAACAGAATAGAGAGCCCAGAAATAAGCCCTCATTTATATGGTTAATTAATCTACAACAAAGGAGGCAAGAAAATGGAGAAATGACAGTCTCTTCATCAAGTGGTATTGGGAAAACCAGAGAGATACATGTACAAAAATGAAAATGGACCATTCTCTTATACCATATACAAGAATAAATGCAAAATGGATTAAAGACTTAAATGTAAGACTGGAAACCATAAAACTCCTAGAAGAAAACATAGGTTGTAAACTACAGAGGATGCCAAAAAAATGTATACAAGTGGACACTTTGGTCAGCATTGCTCAAACAGTAGTTTGCCGTAATCAGAAGTGTCTGGATGCTGATAGTAACCACTTTGAGCACCTCTTGTAATTAAAGAAGTCAAACATGACTTGTATTCATCTTTTATTATCAGTATATATTATTACAATTTTAATACAGTTTTCCTTT